TTGAACTGAGCAGATTATAGATGAAGCAGGGGAGGGGGAGGAAAGAGAAAAGAAAGTGGGTTCTTCCATACTGTGATTGTTAAAGATATTTTTTTTCCTTTAGTATACCCGATAAAACATTGATTGTTGCAGATAGTTGACCCGTAAAATTCGGAGGTTAGTTTTCTGCTCTGAGCTGAGCATATAATTATGCAAATAGCGATCTGACAGTGATCCGCAGAAGGAGTGTGTGTGTGTTTGAGAAGCGGGGGTGTCAGAGGGGTGGCATTCCAACTTTGCTTAAAGCCTGGTTCCTTTTGGAGAGAGTTCATCCTTTGCAGGGGCAGCGCGGACATCAGAGTGGCCAGGGGCAAGCAAGCGTGACAACATCTCTCTTGAAGCAAAAATTGAAATATCAACCTTTGAAAGCAGGACTATTTCTTTCTTTGGCATGGTGCTCTCCACCCGTGTCCAACCAAGTGGACAAACACACCAAACTTTCTTTAAAACAACAAGTCATCTGGATTGTAGGTCTGTTTCTTTTAAATGTACAGGGAAAAAAGAGCATAAAATTTAACAACAAAAGTGAAAATAGTAATTACCAATTAATACAAAATATGGCTTCTTGGGTTTTTATGGCCATCCTATCATGTTTGTCAAAAGTTCAGTTGGTGTTAGTCGTTTCATTGGTTCTTAGGTTCTAAATATGAATCCATAACATGGTCTGTTCTCTGTAAATTTCGTGACCCCGGCACATTAACACTTTAAATTCTCCAATTTTGCAGCTAGAAGAATAAATAACACTTTACAGAAATGATCACCGGTTGAAATGTATGTTTATAATGCAAGGATCATTTAAATGGTATCTCTTTGTAAAATCTTAGATGTTCTAAGAAGATATATATTTTCTTTTTGGTTTACTATAACCACTTTGATATCAACCAATCATAATAAGGCAAGCTATTTTTAATTAATTCCAGAGTTTTCTTTTAATAAATTACTCTTGAATACAGTACTTCTTGCTTTGGGGGAACCCCTTTTATTCTTGTCTGTTTATTTTCACACCCATTTTAAAAAGCCATCTACATTTTGTTTTTGGAACACCTCGATTAAAAAGTAAGACCACTAGAGTTCACTTGTGATTTGAGTCTAAAGAGTTGAAACCTGCAATAAGGACATGTGCTTTAGTAAAGTGAGGAAGACGTGGCCTGAAAGTGGGAGAAGAAATCTGAGCAGTCGGATGTAACATGACCTGTGTCACTATATGCAAAAGCAACAAACTGCTCAATGGAAAAGAGCTTTTCATATGGATTTCTCTTAGAAAGTCTCTAAACTGTTTTTCTTTTTTTTTGGTAAGTTAAATTTTAAAGTCTGGGGTTTTAAAACTCCTTATAAGCTTTGGTAGATCAAAACCTCTATCTCTGTGGCGGGAACCGTGTCAAAATGAAATCAAATCGCAAACTGATTTAACGTTCTTCTTTTTGCTCGTTTGATCATACTAAATAAAAAATACAAACTCCAATTTAGCAAAGGTTTTACGGCATCATTTGTTTTCACATGGCGAAACTGATCGGGTCATTAAACGCCCCCTCAATAAATCTTTAGAAATCTTTTTCCATTTACCCTCCTGAACGACAAGTGGAACCAGGCGAGCACCGCCTGCACAGTGTTAGGTCGACGGATCAAAGAGGGGCATCCAATCAAGAAACTGATCTTTCCCTCTGTCCTAAAATAAAATAAAAAATCTAAAAACTGGTTCTGAACTTGTGTAAGATACATCTAACTACTAATGCATCCTTTAAAGCAGCTTTGTTGTGCTGTGTTTAAGGTTTAATTAACCAACCTGCTTTCTGTCTAAAGCAATGATGTGGTGGCTTCATAAATCCTTACCTCCAGTCAGCTCCCATCAACGCCAGGAGATAAACAGCTCAGACAGTGAGAAATGTTATGTTTTCTAGCAGGAATTAATGAGTAGTTACCTTAATACCAGTTTGCAATCTGTCAGGTGTGGCTATTTTACAGTTTATATCAGAGGTTGTGAAAAACAAGTGTAAGGTACCACCCACCCTCTTTACAGTTTAGTTTTTTTTTTAAGAGTGAGGATGTTTCATTTGATTTGACAATGACATCTGCTGCACTTTAAAAATGAATTTTTGAGGATATTAGATAATAGCTGTTAAAAGGTTTTTTTAAACTGTTGTATGCAAAAGTGATGTTAAATGATGTTTGAATAGAACAGCGTTTGCTATGTTTTTAAAAGCAAATTCATCCAAAACATTTTGATTAGAATTCGTCTAAAAATCTTTATGTGATAATCCGAAATAATCTGTGTGGTGTGCAACCAACAGGAAAAAGGAAGACAGATGTTTTAATATTGGTTATAAAATCAATACATTTAATGCAAATACTATAATTATGTGCACTTTAATTAGGTTAAAAATGGTCAAACATTTTGGATGAGAAAAATTCTAGAATTAAAGTTTGTGTCCAGCCTTAACCAGAATAACAAAAAATCAGTAGCAAGCTGAGCTTCTTAACTCCAAGGCAGGTGTTAAACACCTCAGTTTAGCTCTGGTTACCAGGGATAAATGACTGCATTCCATCTTGTTAGAGTAGATTAAAAAAGTTTCACCAATTCACAATCATTTTGCTTTGAAACCAATTTAGGTTAGGCACTATTGCTAAACTTAATTTCCTCTGAACAACCAGTAAAGACTGGGCTAGCAGTATGTTAAGACCACAGCGATGAGCTCTGAAAGTAGAGTTTGTAATTAAACACAAAGTACTGTGGTAAGCTGAATGGTTTTACCTGAGGAAGCCAACAAAGCTTACAATATCCACATTCGTTAATATATATTAAACAAAAAGTAAAGCAATAAGAAAAATAACCAGAAACTACCTTGAAAATAAAGATGCATAGTTCCTTTTATTTCCTTTTGCTTTAATTGGTCAATTACAGAATAATAAAATCATCTAAAGAAATGTGATTACTGCACTAGAGAGATGTTAAAACAATTTTTACAATTTTACATAAACATGAATCAACTCAGACCGAGGGGTGGAAAAAAATTAACAATATAAAGAAAAATCCATGCATTTGCCATAGGCTTGGAGATTTTAAGATAAAATAATTAGAACAAATAACGTTCTGCAGAAAATAAAATATTCTTCAAAAGCAATTTATTTGCAGACTGTGCTTTGGATCTTTAGTTCTTTTCATATATATGGCTTGTAGGATATTAAAAAAACAGCGAGGAGAGTCTTGTTTACTCCTAAGGCAACAATATACAAATTCTGGAGTGAGAAATTAACTGATCATAGCTGAAAAGCACAAAGGCGAGGTGTGGTATCTTGAAATGAGACCCGTCAAATATCAAATAATAAGCCCAACTTCTTAGCTGAAACCTGGAGAGATCTAAATCAAATTAAAAGGAAATTAGGCTCGCATCCACCAGGCACACTTGTCTCATTACAGCAGAAAGATAATCCACAAACGCCTTAAACCACAGACGGAGCAGGAGAGGCAGCGTTTGACAGTGGGGAAAGTTTCACAATACAGCAAAAGAAAAAAGAAAAAAATGAGGGAAGTATATGTTTGAGAATGCAACTAAGGTATCCTAAGATTCAGTTTCAAGTTTGAGTTTTTACTAATGTCAAGACACATTAGAAATGTATTCCATTAAGCCTTGAGTGGTTTATAAAACACAGAGGCTTTATGAAAAAAATCTTTAACATGTTTGTGTCATACAGTCAGATTATGGGAGCCGAGCAGGAAGCTGAGTTTGACAGGTCCAAGTACACACAAAGAGTACTTGAGTGGAAAGGGAAGGAAAAAAAGAGAAGATATGTTACAATTCTTCAACTTCTAAGGAAATATCATTCTGGCTCAGAATAATATTGAAGTCTAGGATTTCCTGACATGTGTAAGGCGATATATTGGGCTTTTATGAGTGTTGTGGGCTGACTTTTGGCTCCCGTTAAAATGAGATATCACTCAAACCCCATTTCTACGCCCAACTTTAAGTGATTTTTAAATAAGCTTGGTGTCTTGATTTCTTTCTCCTCCTTCATATTCAGAACAGGTTGTTTTTGTTTTATTTGTTTCACCAAATTCAATAATTCCCAGAGATCCATTTTGGGGGATATCACATGAGGAAATTAAGAAAAAAGTAAACTTTGGAGAAAAAAAACATCTGCTTGATTCTTGAAATATGACATACAAGATATGGTAGGTATTACTGTGTGAGAACAAATTCTGTTTAAGCTTTAGAAACAAAAGAATAATCTTATTAAAGAAGTAGTTTGAAAAGATCAAGGCAAACACATAAAAAAAATCAAGTTTAAAATCTGAAAATAGACAGAAAAACTTTTTTTTAAAAAGATATAGACGTCATAGATGTTTTCCAATTTTAAAAACTGGTAAATGACGGTACCCTCCTACAGCAAGAAACAATATTAGCAGGATGGAAATGGTGGTAGACTTTAGGAGATTTCAGTTGAACTTGCAGGTTAAATTAGCACAGGCTTTAGGAGTAAGGAAGGAAAGAAGACACAGAGGGAGAGAGCGACTGAGCAGGGCGGATGGGAGGACGGGGGGGCATTAGCTCACTTCAGGCTGATGTCAGGACAATTAGAGGTGCACCACCGTGCATTGTGCACAGCGCCTGTCAGCCTTAATCTCTGCTGCTGCAGCCCGCACCCGCAGCCGGGCCACAGCCCACGGGAAGCGCTAACACTCAGCTCCATATTGCTTTGACAGTTGCACTCATCTAGAAGTAATGCAAAACGTTATTGTGGTGTATACATGGTGACCCCCGTACTCCTGTCTCAAACAACAAGGTAACTGCATGAGCTGGGTGGTGCTGGAAGGGAGACTGGGGAGGTTGCAGGGGAAGAGTGGAGAGAAAAACAAAAATTAGAGCAAAGGGCAACATTTCTGCACTCTCGTTTCTGATGCACCTTTTAGAATCTACTGCTGAGTCAATGCTGGGTTTCTACAAATCTTGGTGTTTGTTTTTAAGGGAGCCGCTGCGTGTTGTGACAGCATGGGCGTTCTCTTCTGCCTCCTCCTCCTCCTTCGCACTCAAGGCTTCATTGAAGAACTTGAAGATGGATTCAAAACTCATCCAGGAGGTCAGTTCATGCCTCTCTGTACCTGCAGTATAGAAAAAGACATAATACAAAATGTTAGTATTATCCTTCTAATAAAATTAAAATACATTTATACATCTTTCTATACCATAACTTTGGAACATAAAGGAAAATGAGCAAACGAAGGTCATGCTTTCTAAAAAGTATCATACCTATTTAGATGTGTGAACTTTGCTGCTTTACAACAGCAAACACCAGTGCATCTTATTGATATTATTTGTGACAAAGCAGCACAAAGAAGCTTACGGGGTTTTTAGGAAGACAGAAAATTTTACATGGTTTTTTTACATGGCTTTCTTACCCATGAAAATCTAGAAACTGCAACTTGCCTTTGCATTCAGCCTTTCAGGATCAATCACGTGCAGAACTACCTAAATATCCATGCATCACCAGTCTTTTGGAGTATGTCTAGCAGGTACAGACATTGTTGACCCATTACTGGTGCAAAATAGTCTAAGTGGACCGGGATAATTTTAAAGCCTTGAGAAAAAACATGCCTAACGACCTAACACATACATATGATTTGACCAAACCGTTTTTACTGTAGCTTTGGCTTTATTTTTAGAGTTGATATGTTAGTAAAGCTGACAAAAACACAGGGGACCAGAATTTGGTAAACCAAAAGCAACCTTGCATAAGTTTGCTATGTCCCTGACTTAGTTTGGGGCACACTACAAACATGACTTCTTGTGCCGAAACTAAAAATATCAAGCTTTTGCAAATCTCTGTCAACAAGCCTTATTAAATGAGATGGTAAGTCTTTTCAAGTCCCACAATCCACATGCAAAACTAAGGCCATATTCGTGAGAGCAACGGCAGCCTCTGACCCATTAGTCCAGTGGGACGGCTTAGAAGTGTTATCCAAGTGGATACCCGATAATCAACACCGCTGCACGTCGGAGGAGATGGAAAGTGGTCCTTCCATCAAAACCGAAGATATGCACAATGGGCTCACTAAGAGAAACCAGTGGAGCGAAAGTCATTCATCTGAGGGGCTGATTGAGGAAAGTCAAGACAAGCTGTAGAGGGATAACTAGCCTGCATATCAGGTGGTCTGGCAGTACCTGGAAGGGAAGGTTAACAGTGCTGGGTTTCCTCCTGACCTCCCCCAGGTTAGTAAGTTCCCAAGTTTGGGGTCAAACTGGAACTTGAAATTTGGTACACACGCCTCAGGTTTCTTTGGGTAAGGGTACTTTAGGCCAGATATTTACTTCAATACCTTGTAAACTTAGTGACAGACATCCTGCTAAAGATTCCAATGCAGCATAGATGATAAGACCAGAGCATGCTTTCAGTTCCTGCGCAAGGTCATTAAAGGTGCAGTGCTAATAGACAATTGATTGTTGGCGCAGCCACTGGTTAGCAGCTCAGCTGATAAGCAACATAACTGTTACTTGACCTGTTGAGATGCCTCCAAGATCCCAAGAGAGATAGAGCAGGTTTGCATCATTAGGAAGCTAAACATTCTAACAATTAAAGGGCAGAAAATATATCTTTTGGCAGGTACAGACTGTGAATTTTTGCTTTTTTCATAAAAACTCAGCTTGTGTAAGGATAAAAATACAAAACATACCTCAAGAAGAACTTAAAGAAAACAAACTGCCAATAGAGAAGGGTGGATAAACAGAACCATTTTGTTAGAGTGGAAAAATTAGTAGATATAGCTGCACCCCATTACTTCAGCTTCTCTCTCCCTACTTTGATCCTTCCATCATTCTCCTGTGTACATTGTATCAGCTATAAAAATCTAGACAACAAGGCTGCAGGGATACAATTAGGGGGTACCTTAAAGGCTCTCTCACTATAGACAGGCCTCTGATTACCGTGGTACTGACCCCGTGTTTATTAGATTGAACCCGGCTTGGACACATCAATGGAGACTGCATACATGCATGTGTGCGAGTGTTTGCGTGTGCGACTGTAAGACCTGGGGCGACTGTGAGGTTCTAGGCAGATAATGGATTTATATTTAGTTCCTGCAGGTGTGTTTTGTGTTTGTGTAGTTTGTGTGTAGGAGCATGTACATGGGGAGGGGGGGTTCTGATCTCTCTGAGATAAGGGACTGCCCTGCAAGTTATATAGCAAGCAGATGGTAGTCAGTGCCTAGGGTCAAATTTACTGGCCCAGCAATCATGGTAGTCAATAACCCAGCTCTCTTGGTGACTCTGCTACCTGTGTAGAGCTCATCACAACAACTATGCCTGGGAACAAGAGACACAGCCCTCTCACACCTCTAATCTATCATTTATATCCAATTTGAAGCAATGTTATCTTTTTTTCACCTCTTATTTTTCTTCTCTCTTGTTTTCCTCTCACAGTTGTTTTTACTTCTGTTTTGTCCTTTTTTTCTGTCTTATGCAGATCAGCGCAGTAGCACTTGCTCATTCTCCCTGAACTGACGGTGAACTCCCCCGGCACGCAGCCAGCCTCTCCGCCCTATCCCACCACGTTCGAGGGTCACCATGGGGGTGTCTCTTTGCTAATATGCAGATGAGCTGCTGCCCCTCCAATGACTCGGATGCTAAACTCCACCTCCCTCTAAAGGGTGGAGGATCGAGATCAAGTCTTCTCTCTTCAATAAAACTTTTATACAAACAAAAGTTTTCTCCCATGGACTTTCCCAAATCGCATCCACTGATTTTCATAGCTTAAGGACAACATACACGATGTGCATACTGAAACAGAATTAAAACAATTACAAAGTACCTCGACAATAAAGTTCAATGAGGTATCAACGGACCATAACTGGTATAAAGTGAGTAGCCAAAAAAAGAAGGATAATAATATAACTCAATCTATGTTTCTAGGTGTAATCAAAAATGTAATGGGTTGAGTATTTATCACGTATTATAATATAACAGCCAAATATTTTGTTATTTAACAGACTTTATATCTCATACCTCACAGAACTTCAAGACAGAGGGTGTATTTTTTTTTTACTTTATTGCAATGTTTATAGTTTATACATGCAAACATATATATCACTAGAAATATAGGCAACCAAGAACACAGAAAAAAAGTACTGGTGAAAGTAGAGTTTTAGTTGTGATTGTTAATCTAAAAGATTAATTTATTTATGGTAACTGAATGAAGGAAAATCAATACAATGGCTGAGATGTTTATCTAATTATAAATTATAATTGTGTATATATATATATATATATATATATATATATATATATATATATATATATATATATATATATATAAATATATATATATGTATAATTTTTTTTTGTTTGTTTTGTTTTTTTTATGTTTAACACCAAATACAATTTAAACTTTACTCCTATAGTCATTTAAAAAAGTAATAATATATATGAAGTAAGAAGTTTTTGGAGAATAGTTTTTGCCCCTTTTTGTGACCTTGTCTTTTTGCCGTTTGTTGTATATGTTCATAATATGTTGTGAGAAAACGGAAATAAAAATATTACTCAAAAAAAGTCATAAAAGAAACTTAAAAAATGACATGAGAACCTGTCTGTTTTATAACAAGTCCAGATTACAGTATATAATTAAATAGTTCCAACTGATGACAATAACTTGTAAGACTTTAAAAAATGCTTTACAACATGTGTATTTTCAGGAGTACATTATGACACCACATTTGTATCTATCTATCTACCTATCCATCCATCCATCCATCCATCCATCCATCCATCCATCCATCCATCCATCCATCCATCCATCCATCCATCCATCCATCCATCCATCCATCCATCCATCCATCCATCCATCCAATCATGCAACAGAAGACAGACGTGTACGAAGGGGTAAGTAACAAAAATGAGCTAAATCAAAAAGGAAACTGGACATAAAAAGTTAAAATATCAATAATCAGAATGTATTTGTAAGTCTTGCTGGTTTCCATAAAAAAACAAATCTTACAATATTAACAGATGATCAAAAACTGTGACATCGCATTCACAACACTGTGGATAATTTTGCTTGAGAGGCAGGAATTATGTGGTGCAGAAACACGCTCTGTGGTCAGATCTCCCTCATGTTCTCTGTACCGAGGTCACGACACAGTTTGGATGGCCAGGCTGCCCAGCGGCCTGCGGCAGACCATCCTAAGTGTGTATTTTCCCAAACTCAGTGAAGCTGCCTTATTATGTGGCAGGCAGAAAGGAGCATTTGATCCTCGATGTTTAGCCTCCTCCTCTCTGTCACAGCCACTGGAGCCCTCTCTGGGTAATTGACTGACTGTTTGATCTCCGTCTGACTCGACATTACTACACACATTTAGACACATAGACAAAAACGTTTATCTTGCAAGCGTTGCTCATGGCCCACAGTTTCTCATTCCAAACACACAGTTATGATGGGTTGTGTGTAGTGGAGGAATCTAAGAGAGGAGCAGAGTTTTGAGCTGGTAACAGGAAGACTTGTGCATAGCTAAAGGCCATGCTTTCTTCCCTCTGCACCAAATGCTGCATGCTGTTACAAATGGTAATCGGCTGTGATTGTCACAAATTTCAAAACAAACGCTAGGTGACTGAAAAGCCAAAGTGACGCCTCGAGTGATACTCCGACAGGAGCCGCAAATCAAAGCATGCCGACTATAATTAGGTTCCATCTGGGCTACATTATTTAAAGCCGCACCAGTTAATTGCTTGTGTACAAATGGCCTATTTTATTTGAATCAAATTCTTTTTTATTCATAATTACACTGATGTGAAGGGGGCATATCTCTTTGCCTCAGTTATAATATAAATACATATTCAAATTAAGAATGCTTTCAGGCGAGGGGGAAAGTAAAATGATGATACTTTTCTTTGTGTGGGTTGATTTTCTTTAAACAATTATGAGCACTTAAAAGAAACACTGACATTTGGGTTAAATATTTAATGAACTTCAATTGAAAAATAGGAGATTAACTCTGAAATATTAAGGAAGCAAAAATCAGAACAGAATTCCTGATGGAGATTTTTTTGTTTAACAGTCATTAACACATTAATGCAGGAAAAGAAAAAACACATTTTTCATTTCCTTTTCTTTGTAAGAAAACAATAAAAAAAGGGAAACACATACACAGAGGATTATCTTATTATTTTCTTAAGAACTGTAACCTAAGATTGAGTTTTTTCTTAATGTGAGGCCGAGCAGTGCATTGTGGGTGCAGGCCTTGGCTGCTTGTAACCTTAGCTGGGCTGCTGTTTGTGGAAAACTATCTGTTGCATGCATCGCCGGGAGAGAAACGTGGTCTGTGTCCTGGTTGTCAGATCATCAGATTTCCACCCCCGACACCGTCTGATATGAGTTGTTCCTCTGTGGCGTGTGTAAAGTGTGAGTGGTGGTAGAACCTTGGCATACGGTCATCTTGAGCAACAGCCACACTTGTGCAGTCAAGTTTTTGTGTATTGTCAATGGCCAGCAGACATGCTGAAAGGTCAAGGATGTCATTTTGTTCCATGTGGCTGCCTGTTAAGGTTGGTGCCACATGTTACTAAGAAGACGAGGTCAAAGAGAGGTGCAGGCAGGTGACAGGTGGTTGGCCACGCTGCCGGGGCGAAGCTAGCCTCTACCACAAAGAAGCCATTAAATATAATTTTAAACCGGCACTAAGAGTAGAATGATCATATTAAATGCAAATGAAAGAAGATAAAATCAGATATAGCTCTGCTAAATAATCAAATCAAGGTAACATTGTAGTTAACTAGTTTCCCTGCTTACCGGCATCAAACCACAGAAAATTACCCAAAATAGAGTTTGCTTGGTTAAACAAGTTTCACCACTGTTAGCTCTCCAATGAAGTTCATTTCCAATGCTTTTTTCTAAGTGGGGTCTGACCCGCCCCCCCCACTTCCTCTCACGTTTCTGTCATCCTGTTTTTAATTGCTTTGCTTATTACTGTTTGTTGTTGTTGGACAAAAACAAGGCAGAACTCATTACGCATCCATAGATGAGGAACCAAAATCACTTTCCACATGGGCTGCTCAGGGGACTTTGTATTTACTGAGACTCCAAAGGAAGAGAGCAAGAAGGAAAATTTAAGAGGAACAGCAGAACGAGAACATCACATTAAGTAGTTGAAACCATCACCCATCCTATGCAGCTTTGTTTTCTTTTAATGATTTTAAAGGAAAATAAAAACTGACAAGAGTGAAAGCCTGATCACAGTGCTTAGCAAAAGCATTTAGAACAAACTTAAAATATTATTATGTTACAATAAAAAACATGCATACTCCAAGTGATAATACAATCTAGAACTCCAAATATAAAAGAAATAAGAAAAAAAGAAATTAGATTTATTTTTTTAAAACCCACATTACAGTGATTATCATTTTTATTATATTCCTTCCAGTTGAGCTATGCTATCTTCTGCATTGGGTTTTACATATAGTTAAAAAATACATTAAAGACTCAGTGTTCAACCAGGCAGAGAATAATAGTTGAAGGGGTGTGAATACTTTTTTCTGTGATTTAGATTGAGCATGTAGTTTAATCCCTTCACATTTCTTCTTCAACTCATTTCGCTCTTAGGCCAGACACCAAAACTGGACTGAGTGCTTTTTTATTTTAACCGAGAAGAGTGGCCTTCATCGTCATAAAAGACGCTTGCTTTTATATACTTGGAGCATTTACAAGATATCGCTGGTCCAAGGACTATTTGAGACCAGTGTCAGATGCTCTCCAGTAAAAATCGAAAGGTCCAAACATCCCCTCCCTTCTTCGTAACCTCTCAATGTCAGCCCCTCTACTGAGCTCTGGGAAAAATGGTTAAGATGGATATGATTAAAGACATGAGATGGAGTTTAGTAACATTTTTGGCTCTATCCTTGCTAGTTGAATATAAAGAGTTTAAAGGAGGAAAAAAATCAATATTAAAAAGTAAAAGACTCAAGCTGGATCTGTACTGATTTTTGCCTTTAGAAGAATTTGCCTCTAGTATGGAAAGACATGTTGATGCAGCACACATTTTGGCAAAAATAACAACATTGCGTTATGTATTGAATCTTAATATGGACACAAAAATTTAATAATAAATTCTTTGTTTTAAAAAGATTCCTACAAAGTCTTAAATAACTATTAATATTGCTTGAATGCATTTCTTAAATGACTTTAATACGATAGACAAAACAAAACTATACTTTGTTGCAGTCTATCATAAAAATCCCCAAAACAGCTTCAAGGTTTATTGTGTTGTGACAAAGTTTAAAAACTTCAAGAGTATAATTTGCACAGCACTGTTCCGCTCAGCAACTGTTAACCCTGGAATATCAAAGATTTGTCGTTTCAGAAAACCCACATAGACCTGCTGGTTTGAAGTATATCATCTGTGCAATCAAACAAAAATAAAGAAATTCTGGCTTTGAGTGATACAGCGGACACATTTATGCATAAAGAAGGGCCTAGTTAGGATTACTGCCTGTACTTCAGCCCTGTAAACACAGTAGTCCTACTTCATGGTCCAGGCCTTTTGTTCAATCTGCTCTACCATTGGTCAGGATTTAAATAACAAACACTCAATGGGCTGCAGGCTCGCCTAACACGTTTTTTGTTTCAATCCAGTTGATGGGCAATGGAGAGGTTTTGTTTCCATGCCCAGACACAATCTAAACTCAAAAGCAGCACAGCTAAAAAGAGAACCCTCCAC